TCGCCCGCGTGGCATGTTTGTAAAAAAGTGGCCTATGTGTTAATTCATCCACCTATCTATAACCAAATTTCAACCAAATCCGTCCATCCGTTTTTGGGTACAAGAATAATATAACAACAAAACTATCACATTTATAATATTATAGTAGGAATCTAAATATCTCGTTTAGATCCGAATTGTAGAGATATTTAGGTTTAATTTTAACGCGAAAGTGTGTAAGTACGGATGGATGTTTGTTACTCTCTCACATAAACACTACTGAACGGATCTGAATGTAATTTGGCACAGAGATAGATTATAGTCTCGAATAACATATAGGTTACTTTTTACTGCGACAAAAACACTGACTAATGGAATTTTTATTGTAAATGCATTCATAAGAAGGTAATTACCCTAACAGTATAATGCATTTCTTTGACCCAAGTAAATTGTTTCAGGACGGGACTTTTTCTGTTTTTATAAGTTTATATTTTAAACATTAGCAGTACAAAGAAAGCCTTATTTTCTTACAATGTCATCTAACAGGTAATTTCCCACAAATAATTTACCAGAATGTTTTTTAACCTTTATTACCCATATATATAAAAAAAAAACTTGTTTAATTGACTCCATTAAGTACCGGGATTAAACTTTACAGACATTATTATGTATATAGAGTGCCGTCATACAGCTTAGCATTAATTGTAATGCAAACTATACGTGTATACAGAATTACAGCTCAATGTGTTGAAGATATCTCACTCAAAATTTAGTTAAAAGATTACACTTTACAGACAATCGTACATTGCAACTTAAATGTTGAATGAAATCGAGAATACATAATAATAATAATACCTTTACAGGAAATATCATCATCATCATCATCATCATCATCAGCCTATAAGTGCCCACTGCTGAGCAAAGGCCTCTTCACATACGGAGAAGGTTTGAGCATTGATCACCACGCTTGCTCAATGCGGGTTGGCGATTTCAAACTTATAATTAGAAATTATAAGTCCAGGTTTCCTCACGATGTTTACCTTCACCGTATGTCAGTGGTGTCTAAATAATCATAGAAAGTACATATAACTCGGAAAGAGTCACATTGGTACTTGCCAGGTTTCGAACCTACACCCTCATGCATGAAAAGCGGGCTCCTTAACCTCCGGTCCACCACGACCTCTACAAGAAATTTAAATAAAAAATGTAATATTATAGGTACCTACACCATTTTCTTTACAACTTCATAAAGTCTGCTAACCCCCTATATACATATAAATGATAGTAATTAAAAATAATAAAAAACAATGGATTTGTACATACGCTTTGATCTTAGTCTATATTAATTAGATGAAAAGGTTGAGTGAAGTTATTTTTTTTATTTTTAGCTGATGGTAAGCAATCGGGCTAACCGTACCCTAACACCAGAGGAATTGACCTTTTGACCAGCGTTGATGAGAAGGGAGAGCTGTGAATCAGGCGTGGTTTCACGCCGGTTTTTGTTTTGACAGGACGGTAAACGTGTTTTTCGGATATTTTAGGATTGGGAAGGGATGAGAGGGAGGGATTGGGACTCCGGTAACCTCACTCACACGGTGAAACAACGCTGTGGTTGTTTTAGGGGGTTTTCTGTGATGCCGTGGTATAACTTCGGTCGGCCGTAATATTCGCTCTCTCGCCTACACTTAATTATGCCCATTTAGATATAAAACAATCAATTATCGTTAAGATAATGAGACCGAAAAGACTTTTGAAAGTGTACGTTAGGTTTGCTGAAAATACTCAATGTAGGAGAACAAATTTTAGTTAATTATTAATAAAAAATTATAAAAAACCTTTACGTAGGTACAAATCCATTGTTGCACAAACGTAATCCGATAAGTTTCCATAAACAAAATAGATACAGAGAGATTGCCAGTACAAAAAAAAACTCGATATCTCTATAAAAAAAAAACCTTCACACAGCTCGTAGTAAAAGTCTTCTAAAATACGCGGGAAATATTTAAAAAAATACTTTTTATTTTATACAAAAGATTATTAATTAATTTTATATAATACTTATACACAATATCAACTAAAACTAAGGCACTAATATACCATCTAAAACTAACTATCGTATAGATTAAAAAAAAAAATGGAATAGGCATACCATAAAAATGGTATTGCCCATTCAAAAAATCGGTGGTAGACAGTCTTTTTTAAATTCGTTTCTGTATGTGTTTTCATCATATTTACACATACATACATACATACTGTAATATATTTCGTTCAAAACTCAAATTACATTTTGATTTTCAATACCACTTTACTATGTCATTAGAAATCGAATTTTCGATATCTTAGCCGTATGTTGTATGGTAAAATTTGTAAGTTTGTATGTAGGGGGTAATCTTTGGAACCGCTGGTCGGATTGCCAAAATTCTTTCACTGATAGATAGCTACAATGTTCCTGAGTGCTATAGGCTATAAATTATACTTGATTTGCGTATTTTAGTCAAGCTATCGCTTTAAAAGTTACTGTTTTTAAAATCCCGGGATCCATTAAAAATACGAAACTAGTTTTATATGCAATGAATTGTATAGACAGGATTGAATTAATTACGAAAATTTATGTAATTTTCAACAAATTAAAAGATATTGTTATGTATTGATTTTTCTTCAATTTCCTAACTAATTGCTTCAACAAAAAACCTGAGCTTTTTACTTACACAGTACCTAAGAATATTCTTGTTACATAGAGATGCAAAATATTTATACTTATACTTTTTATAAAAACGATACCCCACATTAAGATTTTCTTCTATATTGCGAGTGCGTTTACATACATAAAATTATAAAAACAAGCCCTAAAAAATTAAATTTGAAAATGACTTGTAATCAGATTAACTTTATACAAAAAATACAATTATATTTACCATACAACATATAGGTAATACATATATAGAAAATCCGATACCAACACATACAGTTAACTAATTCCTGCAGTGTTCTTAGAATAATACTGTTTAAATTATTATATAAGAAAAGAAAAGAGACACGATTATCAATATATTTATTTATCCCTAATATTTATGAAAATGGTCTCTACGTATTCCACATAGTAATTTTTAACAAGAAAACATTACATGAAGGCTTTTGAATTATCTTCAAAATATACATGATATTTTGTGAAGCGGTACAAAAATATACAGTGTATAATAGGTATATATAATATACTAGAAAAAGGTCGGATATTTACAATTGTCAATGGCAGATCAATGGATGAAATAATAACATAAACTCTAAAAAAAGTTATGTTAAAACTATTATAATCCAATTTCTTTTTGATTTATATCGGTCATTATTTTTTAAATATTTTCATCAGTTGGTCTAAATAGGTGGATATTATCTAGACACTTTTTTGTCAGGCTGTTAAGATGCAGTCAACCTCGCTACATCCTTGTTGACTGGACATCTACACTACATGAGCTGCTGTTTACATGTGAACATTAGCTCATGACGATACCTAAGTACGTGTGTCGCCTGGACAGTCAACCTCGCTACATCCTTGTTGACTGGACATCTACACTACATGATATTAATTAAAATTGAACTTCAGATTAAAATATTTAAGTATTGATAATACATTCCATTTTAGTTATCAGCCAATATTAATATTGCTGTTTTTAATTTAGTTTAGACTAAAAAGCTGCAGTAAAAGATATTAGATTCAGAAAATATTTGATCTCAAGTTAAAAACAGCACAAAAAATATTGTCTAGGTCGAAGTTTTTCTATGAAATCTGCCATTTTATATGTGTAATTATTATTATAATTAATACAGTCTTATTATACTGAATTTTTGCTGGAAATTTCTTGTTTTTTTGTTTATATTGTGAATGTAATTAATTTACACCAAAAATATATAAGTGAGTAGTAAAACTTGATTTTAACTATGAAATTGTAAATGTTTTTCTTAATATACTTAAATGACGTTGATATATTACTTTTTGAGTACCGAGTTTCATTAAAATCGGTTCAGTAGATTCCGTGATTTTTTGACTTGATTTTTTTTAAGAACAGCGTTCACCTTGAACACTATTTAATAAAATGTGATGTATACAACATAATTAAGGTTTTTTTTTATATTATAGGTTAGGAATACGAGCAAACAGATTACCTGATGGTAAGCAATCAGCGCCGCCCATGGACACCCGCACAAGTTACGAGTGTGTTGCCAACCTATTAAGATTGGGGGAGAAAGGATTGGGCCTCCGGTAACCTCACTCACACGGCGAAACACAACGCTGTGGTTGTTTCACGGCGGTTTTCTGTGAGGCCGTGGTATCACTCCGGTCGAGCCGAAGCATGGCTATCCCACACTTACCAATAATTTTTAATTTAATTTTATGATTTTCTAGAACTTTGTAAATAAATTATAAATACAGTTTCTTCGACGATTATAAACAATATATACAAACACATTGTTATTAATAAAAAATAATTATAAGTACATAAATTACCAAGATCAATTGTAGTTGTTTTTAAAAATTGCCAGCAAGTATTTGATTAAATAGAATTAAAATGAATTATCAAAAAGGTCTTATATATCGAGAAAATATATTTTTTATAACTCAATGTATCAACATTTTAAAATTATTTACTCAAATACTTGGTTTTCTCATCCTACTAATATTATAAACGCGAGTCTGTAAGTACGGATGGATGTTTGTTACTCTCTCACGTAAACACTACTGAACGGATCTGAATGTAATTTGGCACAGAGATAGATTATAGTCTCGAATAACACATGACTCACAAAACTGTGTTACCACATGAGAAAATACTTTTTTGGTGACTAAGGGCTGATTTTTCAATGGTTAGACAAAAGTTACCTGGGTAATAATTATGATGCTGTCGCGTCAGAATGTTTGTATAAGACAGTGACAGCAACAATTTTATTCCTCAGATAACATTTATCTGACTATTGAAAAAGCAGCCTTAAAAAAGAAATTTCCAGCAATTGTTTTTTTTTTTTCAAATCTTAAGCTACATTCTCATCTATAACCAAGTTACTGTCATCAATAGAATCGCTATCACAATCGAATTTCGCGACGCTGTTAAAATATCTATCCATATTAGAAAAACTGACCATTAGCTGTTTCTCGAAAATATTCCTTGTAAATATATTTCTTTCGACTGAACTTCTGAGAAGGTTCGCCAGTATGGGATTAGCTTTTAGCATTTCTGGCTTCAAAGTGTTCAGGTCGAGATTTTCCTTACCGTTTGTCGTTTCCGGGTCCTTATGAGTCCTTTTGTGTATGGCAAATACGTCGGGATCCTTGAAACATTTTGAACAATCCATACATTGGTATGATGTGTTATAAATATCAGGTCTGAGCGGGTTTGGTGCTTGGCTAGGATGGCTTTCAGGCTCTTCCAGTGTTTGTGATGATGGAGAATTAGCTTCTTGTGGTTGAGGAACTGGTGGTATACCTGAAGCATAAGAATAATAATTACTTATAAATTTTATTTTGTTTTTTTCAAACTTTGACTGCACATTGGCGCGCTGCCGCACGGAATAAGTCTTTGTGTGATCCACAAATCGTTGTTCCGGGTCTGGGTGTGATGTGTATGTGAAATTGTATGTTTGTAAACGCACCAACGATTCCTAGGCTCCGGCTCTGGGGCATGGGAACAGCTACATGGCAGATTATTTGCAAGGCACTCATATCGTTCAGCATTATATGTTACTAAATCTAAAAGCTTGCCGGCTTCAACCATATTTTTATTGGAACAAATCATTTATAAATATTTCTCTTTGTAAAAGTTCTCGGAGAGCATTTATATCTACTTCATATAAGTACCTACTTTGATCAATCTGGTTTACAAACATTTTAGTTCATTACTTAAAATAACTTTTCGTTTCCTTAGGTTTAAATTTTGCTTCAAAAGACTTTATTTCCCTAATTGTTTTTTAAAATTGTTTTATTTAACCTAATATATTTTTTATTTTATTATGACTATTGAGTACAGTGTGTGAGGGGATAGTATCATCATCACAACACAGGAGAAAATCCTAGTGTGATCAGATATATCTAAGTACTTGTTTGCACTCGCATGTGTTTTTGCTCACGTTAATTATCTGATAACAGCTCTACTAGTTTTTACAATAAGAGTCCGACCATACTGAATTGAAAAGACTATACGTTTGCCATTATCCCCATGCTTATAATTATGAAACGCTTCTGACCATCCATTGGTGTCTGGTCGCAGTTTTACGACGGGCCCTGGTCTATCCGAGCCAGACTATTCGTAGTGAATTTATTTTATTACCATTAGGGATTTTTTATTACCATTAGGGATTTTTTATTACCATTAGGGATTTTTTATTACATTAAGGGATTTTTTATTACCACTATGGATTTTTTATTACCACTAGGGATTTTTTATTACTACTAGGGATTTTGTTATTACCATTACTAAGTCCGTTGGCTATGACATCCTGTACGCCCGAAGCTTGCAAGGCTAGCATGGTCTGCATATAAATGGCTCGAGCCAGATGTTGAGCATGCTCACGGATCTGTAATTAAAAAAAAAACATTAATTAGTTATGTCTTTTGTAATAGGACGGCAATCGGGCGTTTACCTGATGGTAAGCAGTCAACAGAAACAGCATAGGAGTTACGAGAGCGATACCGACCTTTTGGGGATTAGGTATTCGGAAATAGGAGGATTGGGAAGGGATAGGGCCTCCGGTAACCTCACTCACACGGCAAAACACAACGTAAGTGTTGTTACACGCCGGTTTTCTGTGAGGCCGTGGTATCACTCCGGTCGAGCCGACCCATTCGTGCCGAAGCTTGGCTCTCCCATCAGTTTAAAACTCTGAATCTTTTCCATCAGAGAATCATCAGCCTATAAGTGCCCATTGTTGTGAAAGGGCCTCTTTTCACACGGAGAAGGTTTGAGCATTAACCACCACGCTTGCTCACATCGGATAGGTGATTTGAAATACGAGTGCATTACCTTTCCAGCCCGTTGGGGTTGGGATTTTGGTGATTTAATTTTATTTTATTTTATTTATTCTTTATATACAATTGCATATCGGAAGACTTAATGCTAGAAGCATTTTCTGCCAGTCAACCTTTTGGTAGTGCAGAGATGTGTGGTAAGTGATAGGTATACAGCAATTTAAGAAGTTACGTGAGGTGGAGGTGTAAATCATTCATTCATTCATTCTAGGTTTCATACATAAAAATAATATATAGGGATTCAGGGATTGGGATGGGGGTAGATGAAGGATTGATTGACAGTAACCTCACTCACATGGCGAAACACAACGCTGTAGTTGTTTCACGCCGGTTTTCTGTTAATAAATACTTACTTGTATATTATTTAGGTGAGGATCAAGTGTTGGGACACTGTTAGGTGTCGAGGAACCAGATTGTTTCCTTGTGTATGGAGCTGGTCCATCTGTGGGTAAGTTCTGCGATGGTATTGCATCCTTGCGAAGACTCCTCCATTGACCTGAAAATTTGAGTTAACCGTGTTAGTGACGTGATATTTATCTTCTTCTTCATCATCATCAGCCTATAAGTGTCTAATGCTGAGCAAAGGCCTCTTCTTACACGGAGAAGGTTTGAGCATTAATTGCCATGCTTGCTCAAGGCGGATTGGGGATTTCAAATTTATATATTGATAAATACTAGCTTTTGCCCGCGACTACGCATAGAATAGTGTCTTCCTGCATATTTTTGCTTTAAAAACTATCCTATGTCCTTTCTCGTGTTCCAAACTATATCTGTACCAAATTTCCCAGAAATCGGTTCAGTAGTTTAGGCGTGAAGAAAAGACAGACAGACAGACAGAGTTACTTTCGCATTTATAACATTAGTTTGGAGTTCGGATAAGACCAGGTTCTCAAGATGGATTCATCTTTGCATGAATACCAGTTGGGGCGGTGGTTGGGCAACCAGAACGGCGCAACGTGTCGCGGGAACGATTCCCACATGGAAAAACTCTTCATTATCCACATGTTGCAGTTCAGGGTCTGGGTGTGATGTGTACGTAAAGTTGTATCTTTGTAAATGCATTGTTTGTTTTTATAATAACTATCGTGAGACATACTAAATTAACTAAAAATCGCGGGTTACTCACGTGTATATATTGAGAAAAGCTCTATTAGTAGCTATTAGCTCCTCAGAAAGAGTAACCCGCGATTTTTAGATAATTTGCAATGTTTTTTTAAATACCAAATGAGAAAAAGTATTCCTTAGCAGCGGGACTATTACATTGATGCTGATAAGTCATGTAGTCTATGTAAAGGATGGACAAGAGCTGACGAGAATATTATAAATGCGAAAGTAACTCTGTCTGCCTGTCTGTCCTTTCTTCACGCCTAAACTACTGAACCGATTTCTATGAAATTTGGTACAGGGGTGATTCTTCACATCAATTAAAAAAAATTTAATGATGTCATTATCCTCAACCGAAAATTAACGAGTCTGCTGATTAAAACACAGATAATTATTTTATTAAATTAAATCTCACCACTGCTTACAAGCAACCGATTAAAAATATTGTATAAAATAAATTACTAAGATGCTTAAAAACCTGGGAGGATAATGACTTGTTAAATAAATGTTAAGGTTTTTTGGAGAATCACCCACAGACATAGTTTGAAACTCGAGAAAGGACATAGGATAGTTTTTATACCAAAAATTTGAGAAGTCACTATTCTACGCGAACGGAGTCGGGGCAAAAACAAGTGTTTGAATAGGTATTTTTCAATTAGAGAATGCTTTGGCGTGATATTGCATTTTGTATGTTACTTAAGGATGTTATGACAACGCGAAAGTTTGTAAGTCTGTATTTACCCATCTCTTCTACATAAAAAACTACTGAACAGACCTAATAGAAAATTGAGACAGAGATAGATTATAGTGTGAAATAACACAGACTATTTTTCAAATTAGTTTGGCAAGTGAAGCTACCTTTAGAAACCAGTGTTATCATAATGTAGGGCAAATTAACTAAAAATCGCGGGTTACTCACGTGTATAAATTGAGAAAAGCTCTACGAGTTTCGAACCACAGAGGGGTTCTTCCTCATGCACACGCTACTCATGCAAACGCTGCTCAATTTATACACGTGAGTAACCCGTGATTTTTAGTTTATTTAGTATGTCTCACGATAGTTATTATAAAAATGTAGGGCAACTTTCAGACAGGTAGAATGACTATTGTATGCATGGTAGTGATTGGATCAAGCTGATGAATGAGTGTGGCATACTTTTAGACGCCGATAACTAACAGACTAAACAGGTTGAAGATGATTTTTTTTATAATAGGAGGAATATCACATCAAAAACCTATCACCCTGGGCAGGGCAAAAGAGTGTCAAGACTTTTACTACTATAAGGAATGGGGTGGCCATTCCTTATCCTGCTCCAGGCTGGTGCAAGATAGCTGCTATCTTGCATAGGATTACGATGATGTAATAAAGACATTGTTTGAAGGAACTAGGAACTCCGTTAAAAGCGTTTTATTTAGGAGGAAAATCAAGTCTTTTACCTCCTTGGATGGCAAAGACTGTCAGACTCTTACTGACTAAAACTATTCTGTTTCTTCTCCTGGTGCAGGCTGGGGTAGTGGTACATTAATGTTCTTGTACAAGCAAGTCCAGGCGATTGTTATCTCGATATTTCTTTGAGTGAGGAATGTCCTTGAATTATTTCCCTCAACCTAGGTGGGGTCAATGTGAGTGTCAGACTATTACTGGCTAACACCACCCTGTTCCTTCTCCTGCTCCGAGCTAAGGTTGCTGGGAGTACATTAATACTCTCGGAGTCTCGGAACATAAACCCTGGCTAATTATAGCCCTTACAATAGCATTATCAGCATAATTAAAAATGTAAAACTTGTGTACTGATTGGTCAATGTCATTCTATCATATTAAGGCAGCTGAAGGGAACTGGTTTGTTTAGCTAGAGCACCTTTTTTTCAATATTTTTAAATTACCATGCAGTGTAAATTTTAAGATAAGCTAATTGAGATAGTAAATAATACCTCTTTTATATTATACCTAGACAAAATGTATTTTAAGCTGTAGTTACACCTCTTTTTCAATTTATCAAATTTAATATCTCAGTAACAGGCAAAAAGCCTATTCTAGTACTAATAAACAGTAAGGATGTAGATAATTAACCCGTAATTATGGATTCCAAAACTAGGTACATCACGAAAAGATAGCAAAGATTAAAAATATTGATATAAAAGCAGAAACAACAAAATTAAATAAGGTCAGTGTTAAAAATAGATACTATTATCAATTACATTCATAAATTGTGAAGAAAATAACAACGCTAGCGTAGGTAAACAAAGTAATTACGTGTGTTATTTTTGCCCCTAGTGTTCTTAGTGTAGGTAAGAAAAATCTAATGTGGAAGTAACATACCTTTATTCTTTCCTGTGCTAGTTATAGTGTAATCTTCGGGCTTGAAATGGAGACTACACACTTTAGAGTACTTCGTGTACGGTTTACCGCGTTTCAAGATATCGTTCCACAGTTTTGCAAGCTCCTCGTCCTTCGGAAATTGGTGAAATGATACGTTCTTCACCTTTCCAGCCATCGACGTACAACGCGGCACTGTGCAGTAGTAAGGCATCTTTTTACACCGAAACTAGTTCATACACAAATTAACATAACTTAGTAATTATACTGTTATTGAAACAGTTGATTTTTATAGAAAAACAAACAAAACTTCGCGCATAAACACCAAGCTGCGACATTTAATCATAGTTGAAAGAAACATAGGAATGTTGCCAGCTTTGATTTAGAGTTCGTTTGTCTATGACTCATAGTCGACTAAAGAATTATATTAGTTTTATGCCTTTTCGGAAGGATAATAATTGTATGGTAATTAAAGAAATCATAAAATTGATTGTTAAAATTAAAACAAATGTATGAAACTATTATTAATTATTTTTATTTTAGTCGATTATGGAATATCAAATCGATTCGTATATATAAGTATGCTTAAAAAGAAACGACGTCAAAACAAAGTCTATGGTCCATAAAAGTGGCCATTTTTTTTTGAAAAAAAAAAGTGGGAAGGGAAAAATAGATGTCAAATATTTCAAGGCTACAGTGTGATGATTCCATTTTTTTCCAAACCAACGTGATAACGTTTTCAACAAATAAAATAAATAACATAGTAGTGTCCGGGACTAGAGGTTACAATCCAATTCGATGTGTTGTGTTCATTTCGCCGACTGTAAACATTCAAAAGTTTGGGGAACCAAGTAAGAAAGAAAGATGGGATATTATTGCACTGTCCCGCAATGCACGTCGCTCGCCGGCAAGACGAAAAACGTGAAATTTCATCGGTTTCCTCGTGACGTGACTATGGCAGACAAATGGAACTTGATTCTGAAGCGAGGCAAGCCTTATACGAAGTATTCAAAAGTTTGCAGTCTCCACTTCACCCAGGCAGATTATAACGTCACAACTATGGGTAAGAATAAAGGTATTTCGGGTTTTTCCATCTCTGGTAACAACATTAATAATATTTCCTTCGCCGATGACTCATAAAAGTTTCACCAGTTTATTTGTTTTGGTTCTTTTAAGGGTCTCACGAATGCATTTTCATAATGTCATTAACCAAACTTTTTGTATTTCGAATTCTGTTGTGGCATGATCATTATCGCAATTGTTTTTTTTTGCATAATTTTGGCAGACAATGAAAAATGATGTGGTCATTTGACCTGAGATCTGTTTTGTCTTTGATTTGAAGAAAAAAAGTAATGTGAAATGCAAATGTTTGGATTTAAATATTATTTAGTTATTCTAATTGGAATGTTATTGGAATATTTATTGTTAAAAGTTTAACCTAGACATAATTGTAAATAATATATACTAACATACTTTGCATGCAGTTTATGCCATAAACATGACTAACTATTTGCATTTTAAAAATTTAGAAGACAAAGGTTTTTTCTTAAATGTTCTCATACAAGTTTTATGAAGTTTTAAAACAAAAATTACCACTAAAAACTCAAAAATAGACTATTATTTTACTAAACCAGTATTTGTTAGAAGTAATTCCATACTTCCTGTATAGAATTACAACTAGCTAATTGTTTTTGATTTCCTATATATGACATTATTTCAATTTATCAATTATTATAAATAATTGATAAATTGAATACTAAAAACTTATCATTTTTATCTAATGTTTAATTTAAATCGAATTTTTAATGGGTTATGTGTAATTAAACTGTGAGAAATTTTCAAATTATCAAAAATATTAGTGAATGTTCGTTTTGTTATGCATAATTCGTTTGATGGTTTTAAAGAACGTAATTACTTATAATAATTTACTAATTAGAACATGTCATTAATGGGAATATTTAGCATTTTCTTCTTTTGTCATTCATATTAGAAAAATAGTCCATCTAGATGCTTTTTACAACTTTTTGAATTGAACAACTTCTAAACAGTCTGTCAGACTGTTTCAACAGTAAGTTTCCAGGGATTTCTTTCATTTTAAGTGGATTAAAACTATCAAGGCAGTGTATCATCAAATCAACATATATTTCTCCTTGTCTGATTTGTTTATATTATCATGTAATAGCCTATTTCCAAAATAGGATTGTGCGGTGTGAGATTTGTTTGAACTATACCTAAATTCTTATTTAGTCTCTTTCGCATTGGAATTATGGCCTATAATGGAGTATGTGTGAGGAACCTGTTGTCTATTTGGGCATTATATGGTTAAATAGGATTTGTTTAAGACATACAACACATTTTAACCTTTATTTGAACTGTTTATTCACTCAATTAACTATTTACCGCTCATCAGGGCTGCGGGTTTACAATAACATACCGCACCTCTGGGATAGAAAGGTTTGTTTTCAGATGGTGAGGCTGACATTCTTATTTATCACACATGGGGAGGGAAAAAACATTTGACTAATTTCTCTTTTCAAAAAATAACAAAAAGACATGTGATACATTTCCAACTTAACAATGTTTTGTGTAATTATGCTATAGCATTCTGAATTTGATCAATAATTGTACTTATACAAGTATTCTTTACTAGTGTCATTGGTTCTGCTGGTGTCAATAGGAGACATACATGACAACTTCTTGTGTTTTTCCATCTCCCAAAATGCATTTATGTAATCGTCATCATCATATCAGCCACAGACTTCCACTGCTGAACATAGGCCTTCCCCATTGACTTTCAGATAGGCCGTTTGGAAGCGACCTGCATCCATATTAATGTTTGTAATAAATGCTGCAAACCCTTTAGGAATTTCTTTGGCACTACTGAGCCAGCTTCTTTCCACAGTCATACTACCAGACAATTGCCAAAACTTCATCGCTTCATGGTGGATATCCCACCTACAGACATGCACTAAGCGATTTGCCTTCAGTTTTAGTTTGCCACCGATAGACACTTACAACACAAGTGGAGTTAAAAGTGTGTTGCCGGCCTTTTAGGGATTAGGGTTTCATTGATTAGAGATTGGGGAGGGGAAGATGGCTTGGGAGTCCAGTAACCTTACTCACACGGTGAAACAACGCTATGGTTGTTTCATGCCGGTCTTCTGTGAGGCCGTGGCCAGCCGACCCATTCGTGTCGAAGTAGGGCTCTCCCACACTTGATATGTATAATAATTTATACCTATATCATCTGCACCTGTGTAATTAGTCTAGATAAAACTAATATTACGTGGTTAACTAATATTATTAACAAAATAAGTAATTAACAAAATTATAATCTCTTTAAGAGTTCTTTAGAGTAGCGAATATTATTATTTTCCTAAAAGATAACGCGTGAACGTAAACATATCAGCGTTTTTTTTCTATTTATAGTATTGACACAGGTGTGTGAAGATATTTATTCGCCATTTGGTGTTGTAATTAAGAAATTTGTGCGGTTTTATTTGTGGATACCTGGCTATTATGACCAGACGCGAATTTTGCGGGGGCCATAGAGCCGTCAGACCACCAAATAATGGCAAGGGAATAAGGTACCTAGGCTTGGTTTTTAGTCAGTAAGATTCTGAATCTCCCTCTCTTTTCAGTCTGGACGACAGAAACAATTTGACGGTTTTCAATCTCATAAAAAAATACCACTATAAATGTTAAAAAATTGTCAAGTTGTCTTACGTCCTTTTAACACAGATTAATGGTCAAGAAACTCTGACCATTTTCCGCCTTGTCCATGTTACTATTTGACGAGGTAACACGTACAGTTTCAAGTTACGCTCAGGGCTTATACTTATGAGTAGCGTTGCGCTTAGTTAAATAGCAAGCGTCGCCAAAACAAGCGTTAAGATTGGATATTAATAGAATTCCTTTTTATTTTATAGTCTTGTCAACCGATTTAAACTTCTATTACGTATGCATAAGGATATAAAAGTTGTTACAAAACCAATCGTTTACTGCAGTCAACATTTGCCTTTCCACGAACGTGATAAGAGCCAGAATCGACTAAACGGACAACAAAAAGTTTTCTTAAATTTGCAATGTTATTTTGATAGGAGTATGCACATCTTAGATTTTCTCGATATCAGTTTTTTAAATAACTGACTGTTTTTAGCTACATAGAATAAAACAAAGTCGCTTTGCCTGTCCCTTTTTCCCTATGCATGATTAAATCTTTACAAACTACGCAACGGATTTCTTCTTCTACACATTAAATTGAATAGTCAAATAAATAATTATATTTGTTATTCGATATGTCGTGGCCTGATGTTAAGGCGTCCGCTTCTCACGCACGAGGTGGTTCGAAACCTGGCAAGTACCAATGTGACTTTTGCCATGTTATATGTACTTTCTATGATTATTTAGACACTACTGACATACGGTGAAGGAAAACACCGTAAAGAAACTGGACTTAAAATTTCTAATTATCATTTGAAATCGCCCATCAGCCTTGAGTAAGCGTGGTGGTTAATGCTCAAACCTTCTCCGTGTTAGAACAGGCATTTGCTCAGCAGTGGGCACTTATAGGCTGATGATGTGATGATAATAAATTGTCTTTGATTGCAATTTCTGAAGATGACAAGTAGACAAGCGCAGGAGAAGGAACGGGATGGTTTTTAGTCAGTAAGAGTCTGACACTCTCTTTCGCCCCACCTGGAAGTCACCGATTCATTTTTCGCTCGCAAAAAAGCCGCTACTACGGCTAGCTTTGAATATCTAAGCATGGCAGTTTTTCCAATGGACTGACACGTGAATGTAACACAACAACATAATATTATATAATGGATCAACTGTTTAGTCATTTTATCTAAATCGAGGATATCAAGATTGTCACATGGTTAGTTAGATTATTATCTTAATCAAAAACTTTTTAAACACTGCTTTTGAAGTCATGCAGAAAATCCGGGTTTATAGGATAAGTCGGCAAACGAGCAGACGGATTACCTGATGGTAGGCAACACCGCCCATGGACACCCGGCAACAACAGAGAAGTTAACAGGATCTGGAGATTTAGGGATTGGGGCAGGAGAAGGATTTGGCATCCGGTAACCTTGCTCACACGGCGAAACACAACGCTGTGGTTGTTACACGCCGGTTTTCTATGAGGCCGTGGTACCACACTGACTGTCAAATAAAACATGAAAAACTACCAAAAACAAAAAAAAAACATAAATGGAAAGTTAGATAAAAATTTCATGTCTCTGAGCGTTCCTGTTAATGCCGAATGGACCTCAATCACTGCATTATTTTGAGCGCGAATAAGGCTAAGCGAAAATTCGAACTCAAGATAATAAGATTCTGGGGCCCTACAATACCTATGTTCTGCCTAGGTTATGGAGCTAGCGGTTTAAGGTACTAAGGCCTAAAGCAGGAGAAGGAACGGGGGTTTTAGCCAGTAAGAGTTTAAGTATGGGAGAGCCAAGCTCTCGGCATGAATGGGTCGGCTTGACCGGAATGATACCATAGAAAGTCGGAAACAATCACAGCGTTTTGTTTCGCCGTGTGAGTGAGGTTACCGGAAGCTGCCCCCATCCCTTCCCAGACCTTAAATATCCGAAACCCTTATCCCTGAAAGACTGGCAACGCACTCATAACTCCTTTGGTATTGCGGGTGTCCATGGGTGGCGCCGATTCCTTACCATCAGGTTATCATATTAAAAGAACCTGACACCCCCTCTCGCCTCACCCGTGTGATAGGAGGTCATTTCATTATTTTCCCCACACAAAAAATACTTCAGCATTATTTTAAGCGTCGACAAGTCCAACCGGAACTTCGAACTCAAGACAATAAGGTTCAAAATCGCATAAACTTTCAAAGTTATATTCCTCAAGTCATCCATGATAAATTCATGGGTACGGAAAATCCAAAATTTCAAATAGTAGTCATTTGTTATATCTTATTACCTTGATTTAAAGTTCATTTATCTAAAGCTGAGTCAGTGTTTGTGCCTTACGGACAACCGTGAATTTTAAATAGGGTGTTTAAAAAATGAAAATTGTGTTTTTACTTGTCCCAAACTTGTGACTTTTTTCTTGTCTCCAAACTAATATTACAAATGCGCAAATAACTCTGTCTGTCTTTTCTTCACGCCTAAACTACTAAACCGATTTCTGTGATATTTTGGAACTCCAGAAAGGACATAGTATATATCTATACTATGTCCTCATAGATAGTTTTTATACCAAAAATCTGCAGGAAGTCACCATTCCACGCGAACGAAGTCGTGGGCAAAAGCTAGGATGCTACATATGTATAAGTAACTTTACGAATGCATCGCTTTTATTAGAGAAGTACGGTCAACATCAAAACTTATGACCACGTTTAGATATTTAAACTTAAATTAAATGGTGTTCAGTGACATTTGACGAGAAGGGTTCAATTAATTTTGTACATTAATGATGTTTCTTCAATACCGGCCCTATCTCTTTGGTGAATTATGGGTGATGTAGTCATAGACTTAACAAGTTTTCAAGTCTTGTTATAAATCTATGGATATAGTCTACAGTGGTTTTGAAAATCTGAATGTGTTCATCGACTTTTGATGCTGACTGTACCTCCTTCCTCTGACTAAATAACAGAGTCAGTGTTTTTTTTTTTTTTTGAAGTGGACATCATCACATGTCCTTTCTGAGGCGAGAGGAAGAGTCAGACTCTTACTGATTCAGAACCCCGCCGTGGTGCCTTATAGTGCTTGCCCCGAAACCCTGAACATCAGCCCTGTTGGGTTCCATCTGAGCCTTAGCGCTAATTTAATATTACTGCGTTTCATCTGGAAAATGAGACTTCTGGATGCAAATTGAGCCAACATTTGGCTCTATTTTTATTATAACTTTCGTGAGACATTCTAAATTATTTATTATGTTTTCGGCTTACTCACGTAATAATTTGACGAGATACTCGACTAGTTTCAAGCCATGCTAGAGGTCCATATTCATGACCGTCGCGCTGCTAGCAGCAGCGCGACGGTCGCCGAGTCGCGTGTCGCGGAATGCTGCTCATGAATATGGGCCTCTAGCATGGCTTGAAACTAGTCGAGTATCTCGTCAAATTATTACGTGAGTAAGCCGAAAACATAATAAATAACATTTGGCTCCTCGAAAATTATAGTGCTTTTAAACAGTTGCCTATCTGGTTGGCAACGCACCACTACAATACCAGAGGTGCGGCAATTGCGTTGACGGCCATTTTGGGATAAGGGGTTTCTGAGTTTGAGGGATTAGTTCTTCGGTAATATCTCTCACGCAGCGAAACATAACGCCGTTTTCTGTGAGGCGATGTGGTATCACTCCGGTCGAGCCGTCTCATTTGTGTCGAAGCATGGCTCTCCTTAAAACCACACGGCACTTGCTCACCGTCAAGCCATCCCTTTGGTGCCACTGGTTGTAAGTCTTTCGCATTGGAAAGATGTGTTTCGTGTTATTGGGCCGGCTCGACCGGAGTGATATCACGGCCTCGGAGGAAACCGATGGGAAACAATGCTTGCGCTGTGTGCAGCCGTGTGAGTAAAGATAACCCCTACATCTTTAAAAGCTGGCAACGTATTTATAACTGCACGGTTGGCGCAGTGGCTGGGCAACTGGCTGCCGAGCAACGAGAATGAAGTGTCGCGGGTTCGATTCCGTGATCATCGAACCCGCGACACTTTCGACTCTCACTTTTTGTGATCCACAATTTTTTGTTCCGGGTCTGGGTATGATGTGTATGTGAAATTGTATGTTTGTAAACGCACCCACGACACAGGAGAAAATTTTAGTGTGGGGGGCAATGTTTTCTTTTTAAAAATAAAAAGAACTTTAGGGTTGTGGGTCTCCAATCCATGCCTCTTTAAAAGCCAGAAGCACACTGAACTTATTTGGTGTTTGCTTACCATCAGACAATCAGTCTACTCGTTTTTCGCATTATGCCATGCGTTTGACATACATTTTATTGTTGTTATAGGTATGACCTAGATTTTTCTAATTAATTCATGCGATATCTATTTCTTTAGGTATTTTTTTTCATTGTATATAATCGGAAGCATCGATATACGATGTACCTATCTACCTTCAAAGTTAAACTTATCAATTTAAAACTAGGTCACACTTATAAGCTTGAAAATACTTGAAAAGATAAAACTATAATAGTAAATAAATATTATTTTCCTTATGAGGGGCATCAAATGACTCTCCCGCCCAGGGTCGGGCAGGAGAACGTATGAGAATCTTACTGACTAAAAACACTCCTGTTTCTTCTCCTGCTCTGGACCGAGCAGGCAATTATCTACAACCAATCAGATGACTTGACAAGAGATTTAACAGGAGATTAGTTAATTTTAGTGTTGACAAGCCTTTCTGAAACCGTGTGTAAGAGCCTGAAACTCCCTCTCGCTTAACCCTTGGCGGGAGAAGTCATGTAATGATATTCGCCCCTCAAAAAAAAGGTTGGAGATTATGGCAAATCCCCTCTAAAAGCGTCCTTTGTTCATAAGTGGATATTTTTCCGGCTGATGATAATGAAATTGTGATCCTATCATTAAATCAATTTAATGACTATTTTCCTATTTCCTTATCTTGCTAATGGCGTATTTCACCATTCTCATATAAGTAGGTACCTGGTAAACTTATGTGGTAGATAGTTTATAGGTACTTATAATTATGTTATCTGGTAGATAGCGGCTACTTAGACATTGTAAAATGGTTCATGAGGCTATCCTGCTATACAGAATCTCAAACTTGGTAAGGATAGATATTTTTTTTTATCACTCGTTCGCATAAACCATTTAACATATTTTGATAAAATTTCCCATACAGATAGATCGTGTTTACGAAGTTATTTTGTTTTGCACTACATAGTATAAAATAAAGTCGCTTACTCTGTCCCTATATCCCCATGTTTCCTTAAATCTTCAATTCTACACAACGGATTTTGATGCGGTTTTTTTAAAAAGTGATTGAAGTGGAAGGGATTTATGTATAACTAGCTACTCTCGCGCGGCTTATCCCGCTGCTCGGCTCCATTTGATCGTAGCGTGATGTTTTATAGCCTATAGTACTCAGGAACATTGTAGCTATCTATCAGTGAACGAATTTTGGGAATACGACCAGCGGTTCCAAAGATTACCCCCTACATACAAACTTACAATTTTTACCTCTTTATAAAACTTGTATAGAAGTATCGATAACATCCGAGAATTTTAGTATCGGCATTGCACCCGTGCGAAGCCAGGGCGGGAGGCTAGTATCATATAAATAATTTTATTTATTACTAGCGGTCCGCCCCCGCTTCGCACGGGTCCAACTATCTCGCTATCAAAGGGTCAATTTTTCCTAATCTTTCCCTCTACTTTTCTAATATTTTCTTTGATAAGAACATTCTCCTGACAATAACAAACACAACAAAAAAAGAATTAGCAAAATTGGTCCAGGTGTTGTTGAGTTATGCGCTTACAACACATTTTGCGATCCATTTTTATATTTTATTTATTATGTATCACATTTTGCATACAGAAATGCAAGGAAAATCATTTTTAAATATTAAAATAATTACTGATGTATTGTTGCAACGGCTTATTATCCTGATTCATAAAATTATTTGTAATGTAATTTATAAGTATTGATATATAGTTTGAACAATTATATTGTTATCCATTGTTTTGTTGAAAATGAATGAATGTTAAGTGTGGGAGAGCCAAGCTTCGGCACGAATAGGTCGGCTCGACCGGAGTGATACCACGGCCTCACAGAATACCGGCGTGAAACAACCCACAGCGTTGTGTTTCGCCGTGTGAGTGAGGTTACCGGAGGCCCATTCCCTTCCCTTCCCCTATCCCTTCCCAATCCTTATATCCGCAACCCCTGTCCCCAAAAGGCCGGCAACTGAACTTTCTCCCTTGACTGACTTTCTCCCTTCAAAAAAAGGGCTTAAGTGATCTATAGTTATTTAGGTAGCTTTTGAAAATGCCGAGGAAAGTGAAAACTATTCATTCTTCTTCTCAAATAATATCTTCTGATTTATTTAATTGCGGGATCCAAGACAGTCATTCATGTCCCTGGGACGCGGCGGGCTTCAGTGTTTCGGTGTTGTCGTGGTCGTATCTACTGTAGATTCTGGTAACCAGGGGTGTAGGTTTGAGAGGTTTACAATTTGTTTATATACTTATTAATACATAATATACATATGCATGGCACAGGTGACATGATTATTTATAAATTTTATTTTTTCCTCGTCGAACAAACTGGATTCCTGGTAATTATTATAATTTGGAAATTCTATTGTGTTAAATTTAATGATTATTTGTGTTTTTGTTTATATTAAACATTTACCTGTTTCTGTTTGGTATCACTTTCCGCGGAAAAATATTTCGATTTGATATTATTAAATATTTAATTTACATTATAAGTGTCCACCCACCTACCGCCTCATTATGGCGAAAAGGGTTAATATTTCGCGATTTATCCCTCTAATGTCCTTAAATATAAGAATACTATATATTGATAAATGTAGCCTATGTCCTGTTCCGGAGTGTATTCTATGCTAAATTTATAAAAAAAATAACTAATAATTTATGAAAAACTAAAACCCAACTACAAAAAACGCCGCTGAAACGCCGTCACACTTTACGTATCCCTGCCTACCGTAGCACTTTGACATGTACTGTACAAAAAAATATCCTTCATTTTAAATTAATTATTACGTTAATAAATCATGTTCGGAATTAGGCACTTGTCATATTTAATTACTAGGGGATTTTAAAATTTTCCACGTTACGTGTAAGCGTCAAATAACTTTGTGCGATACTAGCGACCGACCCCGGCTTCGCACGGTTGCAATGCTAACATTAAATTCTCCATTATTAAATGGATTATAACGAAATCATCATCAAATCGTGAAAAATTTCGGATTCACCCTTCGGATATCGTCAGTCCACCTAGCCGGTTCCTGTTCGAGAGGATAATCTCAGACCGCCTCGTCGGGCACCTGTCTAAAAGGGGGCCGGATTTAGCGGACGGCCAGTTCGGCTTCCGCAGAGGGCGCTCCACGGTGGACGCCATCATGCGCGTGAGGGACCTCACGACGGGGACAGCGTTGGCCGGGAGGCGAGTCGTCGTGGCGGTGTCTCTGGACATCGCCAACGCCTTTAACTCGTTGCCCTGGAGCTGCATTTTGGAGGCACTCCGGTATCACCTGGTGCCTGCCTATCTCCGTCGTGTAGTCGAGGCTTACTTGACGGACAGATGCGTCATCTACCCCGGTCACCGGGGCGTGTGGAATCGGCGAGAGGTGTCGCGCGGTGTTCCACAGGGATCGGTCCTGGGACCTCTCCTGTGGAACATCGGGTACGATTGGGTGCTACGCACCGACCTCCCGAGCGGCGTCAGCATTGTCTGTTATGCTGACGACACGCTGGTGCTGGCGAACGGGAGGTCGCATCAGGCGGCCGACCTGATGTCACAAGCGGTTGCGACAGTCGTTGCAAGGATCCGGCAGTTGGGACTCGAGGTGGCGCTCCACAAGTCCGAGGCCATGTGTTTCTATGGCCGTCGGAGCGCGCCACCTCCAGGTGGGTCCCAAATAACGGCAGGAGGAGTTACCATCGGCGTCGAGTCGGCGATGAAGTACCTGGGTCTCGTCCTCGACAGCCGATGGAACTTCACGGAGCATTTTCGTCGTTTGGCCCCTAAGTTGGAACGGTCTGGGGCCGCGCTCAAGCGGCTCCTTCCCAACCTCGGGGGGCCAAACGCCTCCTGCCGGAGGTTGTATATGGGGATTGTGCGATCCATGGCCCTCTACGGTGCCCCTGTGTGGGCGCCGGACTTGAAGCGGCGGCCGGCTCGTACGCTGGTCGCGTCCCAGAGGGTCATGGCTATACGAGTAATCCGCGAGTATCGCACGATCTCCGGGGAGGCGGCGAACCTCCTTGCCGGATCACCGCCGTGGGATCTAGAAGCGAAGGCGCTCGCGCGCGTTTATATTTTGCGCGCAGACGCGCGTCGCCGGGGCGAAGATCCTCTGCCGCGCCAAATTAGTGTGTGGCGGAATGAGCTCCGGCGAGATCTCATGGCAGAGTGGAGACAACGACTGTCGCAACCGAGGGCCGGGCACGCTACCATAGCAGCGGTAAGACCCCTCTTTGAGGAGTGGCTTGAGAGACGCCACGGCGTCCTCACCTTCCGTCTGACGCAGGTGCTTACCGGGCACGGCAGCTTCGGTAGGTTCCTGTTTCGGATTCAGCGGGAGGAAACGCCCGAGTGTCGTCATTGTGAGGACCACCTAGAGGATACGGTGGAGCATACGGTAGCGGTATGCCCTGCCTGGGCTGAGCACCGCCGTATCCTCAGGGAAGTGATCGGCGGCGGCGACCTCTCGCGCCCGGCCTTAGTCGAGGCCATGGTGCGAAGTGAGAGGAACTGGGACGCCGTCTCCTCCTTTTGTGAAGCAGTCATGCTCGCAAAGAGAGAGGCGGCCCGCGTGAGGGAGCAATCCTCCTCCTCACGCCCCAGCAGCCGCAACTGGCGACACTACGGGCGTCGGGGATCGAGGGACGATCTCCGGCCACCGTAAGTACGGGCCTGCGGTCGGCGAGTAAGGGCAGCTCGCCGCCCGACCAGAACCAGGCCCGAGCGTACGGCGCGTAGCGTTCCGCGCGCGCCTCAAAGAGCCATTCGACCACCACAGACGGGGCCCTAAAGGGCTGATGTTCAGCCGGGGTTGCGGGGTAAGCGCAATGAGGTACCGCGACCTCGGCACAGAGCAGGAGAAGGAACAGGGGGGTTTTTAGTCAGTAAGAGTCTGACACTCCCTCCTGCCCGGCCCTGGGCGGGAGAAGTCATTTGATGATTTTCCCTTCACAAAAAAAAAAAAAAAACCTAGCCGGTTCAGCCGGGGTTGCGACGTAAGCGCAATGAGGCACCGCGACCTCGGCCCAGAGCAGGAGAAGGAACGGGGGGATTTTTAGTCAGTAAGAGTCTGACACTGTGGGCTGGACAAGACATTTGATGATATTCCCCTCACAAACAAAAACCTACCTAGTTGGGCCCCCTGTACATCGAAATCGCCATGTTTTAAATCACATCATCAGCCAATAATGGCCCACTGCTGAACACTCCACACAGAAAAGGTTTGAGCATTAACCACCACGCTTGCTCAATGCGGGTTGCCGATTTCAAACTTATAATTAGAAATTATAAGTCGATTCCCTTTACCGTATGTCAGTGGTGTCTAAATAATCGTAGAAAGTACATATAACTTGGGAAAAGTCACATTCTTACCTGGAACACGCACTTTCGTGTATGAGAAGCGGGCGCCTTAACCTTCTGGCTACCACGACGATTCGATGTGTGATGTTTTAAATACTTTATTGCAATTCGAAAGTCCGAATGGATAATTTCTTTTTAACTTATCAAGGACTCAGTACTTTTATACAATGTTAATAAAGCAATTTGCCTTTTGTATTGCATCAAACATAAATAGGTACATAAACATCTTTGCTATTTAAAACAATTAAAACCTCCTTTTTATGGTCTCGCTTCTGATGATCTTTCCGCATTTTTCAAGGTCAATTTTTGCTGGTTTTTCATAGCGTTTGTATTGGGTTCCTCTGTTTTGCTAATTGCGGCTAACGAGCAGACATTACCTGATGGTAAGCAATCGGTGACACCAGAGGAGTCAGAAGTGCGTTGCCGGTCTTTTGGGAATTAGACTTTCTCAAGTTTAGGGATTTGGGGGGGATTGAGAATCCGGTAACATCACATACACGGCAGAACACAACGCTGTAGTTTCTATGAGGCCTTAGTATCATCGCTCCGATCGAGCCGATCTATTCGCGCCGAAGCATAGCCCTTTTTTTGTGAGGGGAAAATCATCAAATGACTTCTCCCGCACAGGGTCAGGCGGGAGGGAGTGACAGACTCTTACTGACTAAAAACCCCCCTGTTCCTACTCCTGCTATAGGCCGAGGTCGCGGTGCCTCATTGCGCTTACCCCGCAACCCCGGCTGAACATCAGCCCTATAGGGCCCCGTCTGTGGTGGTCTATTGGCTCTTCGAGGCGCGCGCGGGACGCTACGCGCCGTACGCTCAGTGCCGAAGCATAGCCCTGGCATACCTACTTTACGTATTAAGACTAGCGAAAAGTTCAGTTAGTGCAAATTTAGTGTTTCAGGGAAACCCACACTTGCACAGCAACTAAGATATCATCAAAACAAAAGTATATTCTAAGATACAGCCACTCAAACATTGTTATTTGTATTAAAGAGATTAGATTTAGATTTTTTCACGATAAAATGATTCATCAATATTATATATTATATGCTCTGTACATCTGAATTGATAAAGGGTTATGATAAATATTTCTAATCGCGGCTTACTCATGCAATTTTATCAAATGTTTTTATCGAGTTTTTTCGTATAGAGCACAGCTGTTTACGAGGTGGCAACAGACAGATGGTCATGTTGTGTAATATGTTTGTGTATTATTATTAACTGCTACACACGACCCCGTTTTACAGAAAAAGAAATGCGTGATAAGGTAATGAGAGAAATTATGTTGTTTGTAGAGGGCGCTCTGATCGGTTTAAGTCGATGCGCAGTGAAATATTGCAAAGTTCTCTATGTTTTAATGCCCACAGTGACCTTAAAACTCGGAAAATGCACTTAAAATCTTAAGCAATATTTTTTTGAATGAAAAAATATATTGGCTAATTTTCCGCCAAAAACTTCGTCCATGTGATCGCTACTTTAATAAATTATATGCCCTAACCTTCCTCAGAAATCAAACTATCTAATAGTGGAAACGGTATCACAATTGTTGCTTTGGTTTTTGAGATGTTATTAAAAATTAAAAAGCTTTATTTCACACGCTAAAACAGGTGACACAGTTTTAGACCACCTACCTACTAGTGTCCCAAGTCTCCCGTAAAATGGGACCAGTTCAGCATGTGCCTTGATGAAATTGCGCTGGTATCCTACTGGCCCTTTAAGTGACTCGCAGACGAACAAGCCACCATCGGACAACAATAAACAACAAAAAGATAGAAAAATCTCATCCTCACAGAAAATCGGAGTTAAAAAACGTTTGCGTTTTTGTTTTGCCGTGTGAGTGAGGTTACCGGAGATCCAGTCCTTCCAACCTCACTCTGATTCTCAATTTGCCCAGTCCTAAAAGACTTTTTAAAACTTCTTCCGACCTGGAAGAGTAACACTCCTGACTAAAAATCAAACCCCGTTCTTTCTTCTGCTCCGTGTCGAGATTATTGTGTAACCCGCTGGCAACGCGTATGTAACTCTCGTATTGCCAAAAAATACCCGAAACGGGACATCTTTTCATTATAATGTAAGGATTTCATTCCCTGCCTTCCGTATATATTATACAAATACTATATTATATTATGTATTCTCATTGATAATGTGTTATCTTTATTACGTACGAGTTATGACATTGTATACAAAATTATTATGTATTTCAAATATATAAAATGATGTATAAATTGATGCCTTATCGCAATATGCCATTTTTTTATTTTGTTGTAATTATATTCTAGTTATTTCGTTTGGTTGAGGTTAGTTACCTGAATATATAGATTTTGATGGGATCCTTTGGAATTTCTATTTAAAAAAGTATTTAGCAGACATTTTTCCAAGATGGGGTCGTGAATAGCGCACATACGAGGTAGCTTAATGAATTTTCGGGAAAAAAAACACAATCTATAAAACTGCCTTTCTATCTTTCGAACCCTTATTCCCTAACAATAACGCACTCATAACTCCGCCGATATTGCGAGTGTCCAGCGCTGATTGCTTACCATCAGGTAATCCGTCTGCTCGTTTTCCGATCTATTACATAAAAAATACAAGATTACTTAGCCTCAATAGCCCCAAAGATGTTCCGAGATGATCCAAAACAGGAGAAAAAACGGGGTGGTAATTTGATTGTTCCCCCCCTTTAAATATGGAGCTTTGTAGTCCGACCTCTGTAAAGTACTCTCTTAGGTCATTTCGAAGTTGTGACGACCTAACAGCAAAATATATGGCAATGAAATTCGTCACCGGTAAAAACTAGTATGGCGCAGTTTATCCTGATATGATTTCGTTCGTGTAATTTCACCAAGCGATTCGTTTTTCCTCGTACACTGTTCGTTGTGAAAACCCATTACAAAGCTATTGAATTGGCATTGATTGGCCAAAATTTGATACCATTAATTGACATGGACATCTACACTACATGAGCTGCTGTTTACATGTGAACATTAGCTCATGACGATACCTAAGTACGTGTGTCGCCTGGACAGTCAACCTCGCTACATCCTTGTTGACTGGACATCTACACTACATGAGCTGCTGTTTACATGTGAACATTAGCTCATGACGATACCTAAGTACGTGCGTCGCCTGGACAGTCAACCTCGCTACATCCTTGTTGACTGGACATGTACTACATGAGCTGCTGTTTACATATTTTATATAGCAACCAGGCTGACTAACAACAATATTTCAATCATGCTGACTAGCTAATAATTTGATACCAGGAAAAAATATTGCAAAAAAATTGCCTTTATCAATAAAAAAACACACTTAAATAAATCTTGTCTTTTATCAGATGTTAGGTATTTAGTGACGAAAATAAACGCACAGGTGGTTGAATGAATCACACGTTACTTCATAATATGTTGCGATAGGAAAGGCGTTGTAGACGTATTATCTCTTCCAAAAGTTTGATATTTAAAACATATTTTCATTATAATCCCTTCATTAATTAATAGATTGATTGCGCAGTTATGTAGGTAGTTATTGTTGTTAATGATGCTAATGAAAAGAAGCTTTCGATTTTAGTAAGACGGTGGTAAGGATTAGGGCGAATCAAGCCGTGTAGCTCCCCAATCCCCGAGGGGCACGGCGTGTAGCTCCCCAATCCCCGAAATGTACCTGAGAGAAACTGAAAGGCCTTTTTTGTGAGGGGAAAATCATCAAATGACTTCTCTCGCCCAAAGTAAGGCGAGAGGAAGTGTCAGACTTTTACTGACTAAATCCCCACACGTTCCTTCTGCTCCTGGCCGAGGCCGCGGTGCTTCATTGCGCTTACTCCGCAACCCCTGAACATCGGCCTTGTAGGGCCCCGTCTGTGGTGGTCTATTGGCTCTTTGAGGCGCGCGCGAAACGCTACGCTCGTATCTATTTCTGGTCAGGCGGAGAACTGCCCTTAATCGCCGTCTGCAGACCCGCAACTTTGCGCCTGAGACTTAGAAGTTGGGCCTTCTTTACCGCATTGTCGTTGATGAGCCTTTTGGCACGCTTCTCAATCTGTTCTATTCTGGCAATACGTCATCATAAACGTTTAAGATCGACAGATCTTAGCCTTGTTCTAAAGTATACCTAAGTACGTACCAGCTTTTAGAAACCTTCAAGAAACATAGTCCTTCTTAAAAGACCGCCAAAGCGTCGGTCACTCTTCTGGTGTTGCAGATGTCCAAAGGCGGCGCTGATCGCTTACCATCAGGTGATCCGTCTGCTCATTTGCCTCCTATTCTATAAAAAAAACACAAACCACATCAAAATCCGTTGCGTAGTTTTAAAGATTTAAGCGTACATAGGGATATAGGGACAGAGAAAGCGACTTTGTTTTATAGAATGGTATGTATTGATTCGGGCTTCACCGAAAAATCCAGTTCGAAACACAAAACATTGGATCAATGATTGATCGATCATATAATATCAAAGATTAGCCCGATCAATTAAAAACTAACGCGTCTTAATTAGCGGTATAATCTATACATATT